ATAAATAAATTATGCCATTAAAAAGACAATACATAAATTAAGTAAATTGAAAGTTGTTTATTTTAAAATTCTTTCTAATCAATGATGTAATAATCTAATGCTATGTATACACTTAAAATTACCCAATTTGATAATTATATTTTTTGTATGAAAAAATCTGGTTATTACTGAACATTTGTCGAGTTAATTGTGTAAGCGTAAACGTACTGTAGACAGTTTATTAAACATCAGTTCTATCAAACTTCTAGACAGATAATTTTCAAGTCACGGTTTTCCTTACGTAATGGTTTTGGATAACGCAACATTATTTACAAGTGATACATTTAAAAAACGAAAGAGTTAATGAATTCCTTATAAGATATAGAACTACACCGTTGACCGGGGGGAAAAGCCCTTCAGAATTGTATCTTAATCGTTAAATGAGTATTCAGTTAGAAATAATAAAGCCTTTAGCCCAGAAGAAAACAAACGAGAACATTCAAGGAATTCGAACGCAAAAAAGAGGTCAAGGGATCCAAGCGATTCATTTCTCAAATAATAAAAGGATTTGGAAAGCAGGAAAGGTTCTGAAAAAACTCGGTCGTTTATACTGTCTTGTAAAAATTGATTATAGGAACACATTGAAGCGAGACATAAATCAATTACAAAACAGCGCAGTGCAATCAAAGCAAATGGAAGTAACATCAATACATTTCTGTTATACCAACAGTTCAGTCTAACAAATCTTCAGACCATGGGATCACTAACAACGGAAAATTACAGGACTCCAATAGTGAGAGTATCATCCAAGGCGTTGAAAAACCACAAACGTTAAGAAGATCAACCAAAATAAAAACCCGACCGCCATATTTATGAGATTTCGAATAACATGACTACTCTGTAATTGTTAGCTTTATATAAGTGGGACAGACTGTTGTAACCTTTCACTTACCATATTATATGGCTGTAGTGATAAATACAATTTTGACTGGCATTCATGATGGAATGATAGTTTTTTACGATTGTTATAAGAGATATATAATGAGTACCGCAGGCACCTCAATATAATGTAACAATTGAACAATAAAGGTAGATATAATAGAAGATCTTACTAAAGATTATATGTCTTAGAGTAGATTTTTAGGCGCGATATATTGTCCGATACATAAGGTGTTTTTTTAAAAATATATATATGTTAAAGATAATTAATAATTTAATTATCTTCACTTATGAATGTGTAAAACTTTTAAAGCAAACTATTAAAAAATGGTCTGAGACTTACTATGCTGGGGTGGCAACAAAACTATATGGTAGACCACTTCGTTCAAAAAGACCACTGAGTAACAACAAATTGCATTAAAAAAGTAGCTTAAACCAGTTTTAGTATGTACTATTTATTGAAATTTTCTATAACTGTGAAGGTACGTTTTGTTACCAATACGACGTTTAACTAGAGAGTGGGTACATTATAATACGAGAGTTCTACCCTTTAAACGCACATATCTATTTCAACGAAGTAAAGACACTCAGATACTGCAACAGAAAACCAATATATCGACATGATGGAATGGGCTGTCTTTAATTCTTACATTGGTGATATCGTACAGATAATAAGTAACCTTTTAATACATAAATATATCCACTTTACAATCATTATAAACTTTGATAATACAAAACTCATCAGCTTTAATAGTACTTGCTTGTCGAACTTGGAAAAACATTTGTTCAAAACCAATTAAGATGAAATTTATTCTAAAAAAAACTGCCGATGGAATATTTTACTTTTAAATTTAGCTAACTATCTATGAAAACAATAACAAACTTAAAAATTCTAGTATATTCAATTATTTTAAATATGTATCCTTTGTTATATGGGTAAGTAATGCTAAAACATTCTACTTTTAAATTAAATATGGCAATAAGAATTTGAATATATAAAACAAAGATAAGCAACTTCGAACAATTTATTGTACAATATAAGTAAGTCTATGAATGCCGAACGGACAGGTGGTGGTGGAGTGAAATTGATAACAAAACAAAATTATCTAAACGTATTATGTTAAAGTACGCATAAAAATGGTTTATAGAAATATGAGAAGGGTACATAGACGTAGAGAGACATGATATAATACTGGGGAAAGTTCAATGACAATTACTCACCTACATTGGTTGCGAAGAAGAAGCAGCTGGCGAGTATATGGAATGCCCCCGCTGCAAGCAAAATGTGAATATGCCAAAATATAATGCGTCCCTTCATGAACTTCATCATAAACATAGCAATTGCAGCTACGAGACCCCAGCATCCACCCAGTATAATGGGGCCATAAGCTATGACGCCGACATTAGAATTCCGTTCGATTACGAATGATGATATCGTGTAACCAAATACCAAACCGCAAGGCAAAAACATCAGAGACACTTTAATATCAAAAACTCGCAGTTAATTTATTACTCTATTCAAAAATTATAACTTTTTAAGTTTACCAACCCACGGAACTCGGTGCATACTGAAAAAATTTATAAACAAAATTTTCCCACAGCTTGGACATTTTGTGTATCAATTAACTTATATGTGTGTAACACTCAAAGAGGATCCGAAATATCGATAAATTTACATATTTTTTAACACATGATAAATTTTTATTTCCAAATAAATTATTTACAGCACTTTTATTCCCTTAAAGATTATTCTAAATTGTATATTTTCACCGATTTGTGTCCGTTGACTAAACAGCCTGCTTTAGTTTTTAGACTGCAATATACTGCCTCGACTAATTTTGCCAACTGTGTAGACTTCTTTGCTGATAAGTACCGATAATAATTTATTAGATAAGATAATGTACTTCAGCAGTGAAGGCTTACAAATCTTTTAGAAAACGCAGTTACGAGTATGAATGTAGGTGTGCTTGCTCAGTCCTAATGTTTACGTCTCTGACTTAGTCATCGTAAAATTGTTATTTGACTTTTTTGATATATCTAGGCATTCACTTGCCAAATCCATCAACTTGCAAGCAATCTTTTCTTTTATCACTCCATTATTGGTATTTACCTTTGGCAAGAGTTTAAATAATTCAATATCGATTACTATCTTTAAATCGCTTATAGTATTTTATATAGGTACATATGAGTCGCGAAAAGTATTTAAAAATTTTTTTATATAAAGATAACTCCGCAAAATACACAGTGTTGCTTAAAGACTATCAGATTATTGTGTTTTGAAGACTCTAATTCTTTAACACAAATGTGAAATCTATCATGAACTACATGGAAGCACTCCAGACATATAGAGAGAAAGATGCAAGTGATTGTCAACAAGTGTCTATGTAGAATTCTCAAAATATGGTGGCCATATCGAATATCAAATAAACGCTGCTGAACCAAACAACTCAAAGAACTGTTGTTCTTTGAGATAATAATGAGAAAGTGGAAGTGAATAGGTCATACGCTTAGACAACCGAGAGATTACATAGTGAGGCAAACGTTGGCATGAAATCCGCAAGGTTGCAATGTTCGTGTGCCAGCGAAAACGTGGAGAAGAACGGTCGATGGTGACCTAGCTGAACCACGATATACATGAAACAGGGCTGATGAAAAAAAAGTGGTTGATGAAAATATTTCGATGTTGCTCCATAAGTAAACACGTATTTAATAAACTCTAATTTAGTTATATACTATTTTATTAATTTTTTAAAAAGTTTAATTGTTTATAAAATTTTCGAAATAAAAATATTGTAATTAGTAGCATTAATTCTCATCCTTTTTCGGATATTGCTGAAATATACGATTACCATCCAACTTTATCTTTGTTACTTCTTCCGGCTGTATGTTGTGTTGTAGAAAATGATTTGTATACCAAATTTTTGAATGTTCATTAAGGACCTTCTGCTTTCTAATACCAAGTAGTTTATTTCTTATATCGATAAGTCCAGTTGATTTCGGTAGCAAAACTTTTACCACAACGATTGCAGCAAGTGTTAAGACCATTTCACTTATGCCCATTCCAATTAACAACGACGTGGAATTATCTGCTTTGGTCTCATACTTTAGCAATTCCGACACGAATAGTTCTAAAGCTATAAAAATAGCTAAAACCAATTCGGTAAAAAGAAATGGTGTGCATTCCAATATCATTTGAAGAGCTATGCTAGAATAAACACCCATTGATATATAATAAAAGCAAATAAAGACAAAACAGCTCTCCGTCAACTCTTCCTTATAAACGCCCAATATTGCAGCGATTATAGTCATTTTGATCATACCAAACATAAGGAATATAAATTTCGGTGTATAGCGTAATAGTAACAAACCTCCAATACCACAACCGATGGAGTATAGTAAAAATGGTCCATATAAACTTTGTGAGCCCATGTAAGAAGAAGAAGCACTCCATGCCAGTTGTAAAAATGACGCAGAAAACACACAGGTCCTTTCTAAAACTAAGACAATTGACGCAGCCACTACATACCATTGTAGATTTCTTTTAAAGTAAAAATCGTCGCGTCCCACAAATAATGCAAATATTGATTTAGGTGGTAGAAAGAGACATTTTTCTTCATTCATTATATTGAATGCAACATCACAAGAATGTTTATAATTATATACGCCATAATGTTGCAAGACTTCATTAGCCACCAAACCAACAATTATCAATAAAGTCATACCAAGGTATAACCATGCGCTCAGTTTTGGTTCGATTTCGTTGAATACTGTAAAACCGATCGCTAATCCGGAGAAATAAGCTGTGTTGCCTGTAGCTATGCAAGCAGGACGCAAGCCCCGTTCGTTACTCCGTAAACTTATAAAACTAAAACTCGGTATAAAAATGATAACTGCGCCCACAAAGCCAAAGTAAAAGGATATATCTAGTATATAAGATATAATATTTTATAATTTACACAAGATTCTACAAAAATATAAAACTCACCAACATTTTCGGTAACCATAAAGCAACTGCTAATGATGGAGCATATAAGACCATAAAAAATCATAAAAAAATTATCAAAACGATATTGCTTGCTTCTGTATTTGTTAAAACTCCATACACCAGCAAGTAGTAACGCGGCTACTCCACCAACCACTGCATACCAGTGGGTCCAAAGATTATCGTAAATGTAAGCAAATTTATAATAATAACCTATAAAGAGGCCATTCACGAATAAGCAGCCGAGAACTTTTAAGAAGAAATATTCTAAATTTCAAGCATTCGATAGGCAATAACAAGGCATTTCATACCTAAGAAGTCCGAAAATAAATACATGCTACAACTACTGCAATTTACATTCACTTATTTGCATATGATACTCTCTGCAGCCACTAAAGAACTAATATTTAACTTATATTCTAACAATTCTCGAACCTCGAACTCCATAAAATTCCATTTCTTGCTAATTGTAAGATAAGGTAAATAGATAGGTAAATGGAAAAGATTCTCATACTCATTTGTATTTTCGATGATGAGCGATATCTAAAAAAATAAAAAAAAATATTTCAAATCTCTATTAAATAAAATTTTTTACTTCTTTTTAATAGTTTGGAACCAGCTATATAAATAAAAATATATGTTATACATATATCTGTTCAAACATCTGCTGCTTCTTTAAGTTTAGTTTGTCGCAAAAAGTGAAGCTTGGCAGACGCTTTTTAAAAAATTGTTTTTGATATTAAATTGTAATTTTAATCGATAAGATAAATTCCGACATTGGCACAGATACATAATTAAAATAGATGAAGTTATATACAATGGAATTTCTTAGTTATATAGAATGGAATGCATAACCGAATTCTCATTTTAAGTAACTGTTTGAACGTGAAAAACTCATCATTTCTTAGTTTAAATGTAAATAAATTTAAATAAATAAATCAAAGAACAAGCACAAAAACAAATAATCCAATATTTAGATGTATGAAACACCAGCTAATATTTTAATTCTTGCACTAATTATTCAAATTATTCAGTTTAGCTTGACATCATTAGAAACCGTAGATGTATGGTAAATGTAAAAATGTAAGAATTTATTTGGTGCAGGAATAAATATACCCAGTCATCTTTCATTTGTAAATAAAAATTCAGAATTTTGTATGAGTCTTCTACTGCATTCTTGGAAGGCTGATGAACAATTTCATCTACCGAACCCTCATCATCACTTTCAGTTGCGCTTAGAATCGGATCCACTATAATGTGATATATACAGAGCTAGCTATAATGCTCAATAATATCGTCATCTGTTGAAAAACTTGATGTACAAATTTAATTATCAAGCTCAATATAATATAATGGTTAAGAGTAGCATCGGAAGTTATTTCAGGATCTTCATCAATGTTATTCAAGAAAATTAAAGGAATGTCGTCCTGTTCGTCCCATTGACCAATTCCAGCTTTTTTTGAAGCAGTTTGACTACCGTTTGCCAGGGACTGGCATTTGGTCAAAAAAGCCACATAAGAAAGAATAAATTGAAACATTTGGTTTGGAAAAGGGACTTCCCCTAACATCAAAATGGATTCATACATAAAACAAAACGTAACAATACGAATTATAGAGAAATTCGAGTTATAGAAATTCGAGTTATGGTAGCAGAATTGTGTGTAATTTGCTCTCTAAAACCCTGTTGCATTATTTTTAGTTCGAGTTATAGTAAATTCGAAGTTTGAGTTATGGAAGTTTGACTGTACTTTGTCTAAATTGCATAATAAAAATACGTGGCACAAGAATTTTGCTTTGCTACTCTATACAATTTTTATATATGAACGAATATTTAAGATTAAAATGATCGGGAAAACACTTTGATTTATCAAGTCGGCATACTTATGTATATTCAAATCTTCGTATCAAAACCTCACGAGAAGTTTTTAAAACTTTTCAATAAAATTGACTCACATTCAAACACTACATCCGGATGTCACTACAAGCATTTATGCGGATATTAGAATAACACTAAATTAAAAACTAACCGAAATATTGTCAGTAGATTCGGCCACTAAAGTTGCACACAGAAATTAAGGTATTCCGATTACCATCTGGAGCACCAGCAAGAACAAAAAAACATTGAAACATCGAAAAAAAACAAAAAATTTTATGTTTTCGTTTTTACTTGTTTTTTCATAATAAAATCCAATACGGAAATATTGCCTATTTATTTTTCAAAATAAATGTTTATTGTTTTGTTGATGCACTCAAAATTAAACAGCTATTTTTGTATACGTTACTATTGTGAATACTTATACAAATCTCATTGTGAAAAAGTTAAGAAGAAGAAGCAGAGACGAACTATTAAAGTGCAATTTGTAAACAATAAAATTATATTTAATAAATCTTAACTTAATGTTAACAAAATAATGATTTCAATAACTAAAGAAAATGCTAAAAATCATTGTCGTACGTGTTTAATAAAATTAAAGGCTATAACCTCTGAAAAAAGTGAAGATTTACTCAATGGGCTTAATTTGGAGTTTTTGGATGAAGATGAAAATAAAGACAATATTAATATTCAAATAACTACAGAAATGCAGGAAATAATTGAGAAATATATTGCAGAAAAAAGGATACTGGATGTAAATTATCCAGACAACTTATGTTTCATATGTTACAGCAAATTACAAAGTTTTATTATATTTCGAAGACAGGCGCAAGAATGCGCAGCAAAGTTGCATTTAATATTTAATAATTTGGAGTCGACAAGTAATACAACATTTGATATAAAAGAAACAGATGAAAAGTCGAAAATTGGAAGTCCAGATGATATTTACAAATTACTAGTAAGTAATAAAAATATTGTTATTGTTAATTGATACATCAGTTCTTCTAATATTGTAGCTTAGAGATTCCTTGATGGAGACAGAATCAATTCTGTTGGATAGCTGCGGTTCGGTAGCGTTAGCTAGTACAACAATACAAGATCCCGATCCTTTTGATACATCAGCTTCAACGCCACTTTCTAAGGTTATCGTTCCAAATAATAACAGTGATACAGAATACCTCTGGCAAGAGTGTGCCGGAAGTGTAGGCAGTAGTTCGCATAACGATTCTTCCAGTGATGAATCAGGTAAAGAAAAGCATAAGTCTGATCACGAAAATGACACTATCAAACAGGAAGAGAAAATTACTCGTTTACGTCCTAGAAGAATTGCATGTGAAACTATAACCCTAAAAATGGAGAAGAAAAAAAGACGCACGAAAAAGGAAATGGAAGAATGGCGACGTTTACAAACTAATAAAGCAGAAAGCAAAATCAAGCGACGAAATAAAGGCACAAAGAATAATTATAAATGTAGATTATGCAATCATTGTTTTGCACATAAGATTACTCTGGATGCACATATACGCAAAGTGCATGAGGGAAGTAAGCGACCATTTCAATGTGATCGCTGCGACAAGGCTTACACATTTATTGGTGGTTTATACACGCACATAAAAGAGATACATGAGACAGAGGTAAGATCATATGCTTGTGATTATTCTGGCTGTGATCGGATATACACCAGCTTTATAGCCATGCAGAAACACAAACGTCTTAAACACACCGATCTTGAAAGCCAGAAAAAGTATGTATGCGAACAATGTGGTGCCACATTTAATCAAAGTGGAAATCTAAAATACCATCGGAAAACAAAACATCCCACTGAAGCAGAGCAAGCGGAAAAGGAGAAGTGCAAAGAACGTTTCGAATGCACTGTCTGCAATAAACTTTTTCATTCTCGTTACACTTTAAAATATCACACATTACAATTGCATTCAAATGACATGAAATATGAGTGCAACGTTTGTGGGCGACGTATGGCCAAAAAGTTTATGCTCGTGCAGCATATGTTGGTGCATTCAACAGAGAAAATGCCATGCGAACATTGCGGTAAACAGTTCATACGAAAATTTGAACTTGAAGCGCATATACGGGCTGTGCATATGAAACTTAAACCGTTCGAATGTCAATATTGCTCGGAATGTTTTGCATCACGGAAAACTTTAAGACATCACGAATATATACACACGGGTGAAAAACCCTATGTGTGCGATATCTGCGGACAAGCATATCGACAGCAGACTTGCCTCAAAAATCATAGGAAATCACACGAAAAATTAACTCCCTCAGGGCTGCTGGCAGCAAACATAAGTCGGACGTTAATGAACACATTACTGGCGCCACAACAACCCACAGTTTCAAATGCTAATTTTAACTGATACTTTATGCGTACACTGGGCTAAATCTTTACAATAACGTACAAGTTCGTTTCTATTAATATCGAAACGACTTTACTCAAAACGAAAAACTTCACTTAATACAAGGAAATAGCATAAAATAGACAAAGGTAGTAAATCTTCAATATAAATCTGGTTTGAATGCCTACTTGATTTATAAGGGACAAGTATTGCGTTTTTGGAACTTCTATATAAATTTTTTTTATACTATTGTATATTTATTTATTAAATCTATTCTTAAGCAGATAACAATAAGTTATAAAATCGTATTCTACCATAAACAACAACTGCTTTTTTGTGTCTGATAAGGAACTCAACTTCTATTAAGAAGCAGGATGAGCGTTCTTCCAATCTGATTTGGTACATTTATTCCGTAGCAATTTTTATAAAGTATTTTTCTTTTAAGTGATTATTTTAACACCTGTGCAATGAAAAAGATATAATATACTATGGAAAAACGTTATAATATATTAATAGTACCCATAATAGATGTACGATATATTATGCATTACGGCAAGGAAGTAATTCCTCTCATCAGATTTTATTTTATTTTGCCATTTCTTATACTCAATGTAATATAATCATAAACTACTTATTGTATATATAATTTATTTTATAATTTTGAATAAAAGACAGGAAAATAATGTGAAATTTTAACTTGTTGCTATTTTTATTTTGTCTTTCTCTGCACTGCCAATATTTTTCATCTCATTGTCAATATAAACGTCTAGATCTTGTAATGGCTTGTAATAGTAGTGAACCAATTGGGAGCCTGCCATCATGGAAAGCATAGCACAAGTAAAGAATTTTATATACTGACCCCAACCAACTCCAGCAGGCATTGTGCTATAGCTTCAAAGTTAAACGGTTTCCTTTGATGACTGCTGTTGAATCGAATGTAATTTATCTTCAACCAAATTTTTGGCTTGTCGTCTTTTAAATGTTCGATCTACAGAACAAATAACTCGCTAAGTTAAAGTTTTAAAAATTTAAAAATTATTTCTCTTAATGAAGCACTTCATTAGACGACTGTCAATCATCTACGACTAATTCAATGAAATGCTACAGTACGAGAGTTTCTGATTACGCAAAGCTCTTACAAAAGTTGGTTTCTCCCACAGTCCAATTTATCATCGAAAACTCCAAACCCGCACCAAGGAAGAAGAAGAGTGGTAAAAATCTATATATGCCAAAACGTTTTTTACCCGGCCAATTGTCCAACACACGTTTAATGGATGCGCTGTAGAAGGGCATTTCTCATCGAGTGAACAAAATCTTATTGCCGATTCTAGTTACGTAATGAAAATATGACTTTTTAGCAAATAATAATAACAACAAATAGATACCTTTTTAGCCAC